GAACTGACTAACCACGCTCACGGCAAAGGAGATGTCTGGTCTGGTCATAGTGAGATAATTTAACTTCCCCACAAGTCGTCGATATCTTTCAGGATTAGAGATAGGCTCTCCCTGATCTGGCAAAAGTCGAACATTTGGATCAATTGAAGTATCGATCGGCTTACAATATGTCATCCCGGTTTCCTTCAAAATATCAAGAGCATATTTTCTTTGAGATATGGCAATGCCAGTTTTGGATTGAGCTACCTCAATTCCAAGAAAGTAACAAAGTCGTCCCAAATCTTTTGTTTGAAATTGCTGGGACAAGTATAGTTTAAGATTCTGTATGCCATCATGATCATCCCCTGTTATTACAATATCATCAACATAAACAACAAGGTAAGTAGATTGATTAGATAAAGATCTTTTATAAAACACGGTGTGGTCTGCTTTGCATTGAATCATCCCAAACTGTTTGAGAGCCGTACTGAATCTGCCAAACCACGCTCGTGGGGACTGTTTAAGACCATACAAGGCCTTATGCAACCGACACACATATCTACACCCCTGAGCAACAAACCCAGGTGGTTGCTCCATGTAAACTTCTTCTTTTAAATTACCGTGAAGAAATGCATTTTTTATGTCCAACTGATGTAAGGGCCAGCTGCGCATAGCTGCCATAGATAAGAACAAACGTACAGAAGCCATCTTTGCAACCGGAGAAAAAGTGTCACCATAATCCAAGCCAAACACTTGAGTAAACCCTTTAGCAACCAAACGTGCTTTCAGCCGGTCAACTTGTCCATCAGGACCAACTTTGATTGTAAACACCCATCGGCAACCAACAATAGATTTACCATGGGGCAGGGGAACAAGAGACCAAGTACGATTGATTTCAAGCGCAACCATCTCATCAAGCATAGCTCGGCGCCATCCTGGGTGGGCAAGAGCTTCCTGGACAGTTTTAGGAATGGAAACAGAAGAGATGGAAGACACAAAAGCATAATGGGAAGGAGATAGACGATGATAACTTAGACAATTATAAATAGGATGCGGGTTCCGAGTAGAACGTATACCTTTTCCGGTTGCAATTGGAAGATCAGGTTGAGCAGGTGCCTCATGTTGGTCCGGAGTAGGTAAAGGAGCTGGAGCTGGAGGTGAATCAGCAGGGTCACTATTAGGGACATCCTCATTAGGTGCAGACCGCAGTCGACGCCGATAAGTAATGAGTGGTTTGGCAGAGGACAATGGAGGACTGAGAGGTGACAATGGAGTAAGATGAGGAATGGGTAAGACCTGAGAGACAGATTCAACGTCCACTTGTGAAGTGAAATACGGTTGATCCTCAAAGAAACTGACATCTGCAGAAGTATAGAAACGATGAGTAGAAGGTGAATAACAACGGTACCCTTTTTGGACTCTAGAGTAGCCAAGGAATATGCACTTGATTGCTCGTGGAGATAATTTGTCAAGACCAAGGGAAAGATCCTGTACGAAACAAGTACAACCAAAGACTTTGGGAGGAACAAGGAAAATGGGGTCCTTTGGGAACAAGATAGAGTGTGGTACTTTGTTATCCAATGTAGAAGATGGCATTCGATTGATTAAATGAATAGCTGTGAGAACAGCATCTCCCCAGAATTTTAGTGGGGCATTGGCATGAACCAGTAGTGTGCGTGCTGTTTCAATGATATGACGATGTTTTCTTTCGGCAATCCCATTTTGTTGAGGCGTGTGGGGACATGTGGATTGATGAATTATCCCTTGAGTAGCCATATATTCATTGAAATTTGTTGAGAAATATTCCTTGGCATTATCACTACGTAGAACACGAATGGTATGATCAAACTGATTTTTTATTTCATTGCAGAAACTTTTGAAAATGCCAAATAACTCTGAACGTTCTTTCATTAAATAAAGTCACGTACATCTTGAAAAATCATCAACAAAGATAACAAAGTACCGAAATCCTAAAACAGAACTGACACGACTTGGACCCCAAACATCTGAGTGAACAAGATAGAAGAGAGATTCTGCATGACTATGACTTTTTGGGAAAGTGGTTCTAACATGTTTACCAATTTGACATGACTCACGGGCTAAGGACTGTAAATTGGAAACTTGAGGTACCATTCTCCTCAGTTTATTGAGACTAGGACGACCTAAACGTTGGTGAAGCAAAGAAGGAGACTCCATAGCAGTGCAAGCAACTGAAGAGGAAGTATGAAAGTAGTATAGACCCTGAGATTCAAATCCTGCTCCAATCATTTGTCCCGTACTCCGGTCCTGTATAGAAAAAGAGTCATCAATAAAGGTGACAGCACAATTATGACGACGTGTAAGTTGACTGACAGAAACCAAGTTGAAAGGAAAACCAGGGATAACAAGAACAGAATTATGAGACAAAGAAGGATGAAGTGTGGCATGTCCAACGCCAATGGCTTTAACTTTTGAACCATCAGCAAGGGTGACATGGTGCGCTGATTTAGGTTGAGATAACTTTGAGAAAAGAGAAGGATTACCGGCAATGTGATCAGAGGCACCAGAATCTATGATCCAAGATTTGGCGGGTCCTGATTGAGAAAGACAAGCTGTAGAGTTACCGGTAAAGTTGACTGTTGCTGAGGAATGCTGAGCTGCCTTAAGTTGTAGATACTCTTTATATTCATCATCTGATAGAACATTCTGGGCACTTTTAGTTGCTGCCCCAGGTTTCACCGGTTCGGAGTGCATTGGCCAACCAATAATTTCATAACATTTATCTTTGGTATGACCCATGCGCCGACCATGACTACACTTAGGACGACCACCATTGCCACGTCCTCCTCTATCACGACCACGACCACGACCGCCATAGCTACAACGAGAGACAAGAGCAGAGAACTCTGAATCAACGTGAGGACCAACACTTTCAATTCCACTTGGTGAGGAACTCTCAACAGTCGACCGATAAGGTCTTCAGCAGTGGGAATGTTTGGATTCGTTAGGATCTGGTTCCGCACGGAATCAAAATCCCTATGAAGTCCATGGAGAACAAACACCATACACATTTTATCAATTTTATCAAACACTTTAGGGAGATCAGTTTCGCTCAACATCACCTTAACCTCTTCAACAATGGATTGTGCCTTATTCACATATGATGGAAGGTCATGGTCGGACATTTGGAGTGTTGCAAGGCTATGAACAACGTCATAAATCCGTTGGACATCATTCGCAAACACACTTCGAGCTTTCTTCCATATGTCATAACACGTCTTGTATGTGCGGAAGTGGATCAACAGTTTGGGATCAATGGACTGCCACGAAATAGCAACCAATTGATGGTCGGCTTGAGTCCATTTTTCCCTTTCAGATGCAGTTATTTCATTGGCTCTTTTGGTCAAATGTTCGGACAAACCATGTAGTTTCTGCCAATCCATGTAGTTTCTGCCGTTAAGTTTTTCAGAAGTTATTTGGGGATTCCCAGAAAAGACAAAGGACACAAGACTCCTGGAAGAGTCAGGAGTCGTGCTGCTTGCAGGAGACATGACGTATACTGACTTGGGAACAATCTGGAATGACTAGGACTTCTATTCCTAGTGCCGGCAGACCAGTCTCGATGAAGGTTGGCTGCAGGGACGACTAGGGAAAGTGAGGATCGGGCTCTGATACCTACTTGAATTTACTGATTTGAATGAAATTGCTTAAGAGAAACTACTCTCAGCAAGTCTTTATTTATAAGGCAAATAATTACAAGGAAAGAATCATATGCACATCAATCAGTAATTAATTCCTGATTTGATACAATCTGTACAATAAATACTAAAATCAGGAAGGAAATCATATCAAATCTCAACAATCACAAATGAAACTCTTCCCCTTCTCTTCAAAGTTGCCATCTTTAATGTAAGTTTTTTCTCTCCTTCTTGGACATCTCTTAATTTCTTCCTATTTTCCCACTCTTCTTAATCTCTTAGACAAATTGGTTGTTGTTTTCGCTAATTATTCAGTTTATTAAAGGGGTGTTTGGAACTGATTCTGCTTCTGCTTCTTTTTTAAAGAAGCAGAATCAGAATCAGTTTTCAGAAGCTGGTCACCCCCAGCTTCTAAAAAAACTGATTCTAGGAGTAAATTAGAGCACCAGAATCACTTCTGCACTTTCACCCCAAACACTGCAACTTCTGCTTCTACTCCCTGAAGGAGCAGAATCAGTTTTAAGAATCAAATCCAAACACCCCCTAAGAAGACTTTATTTTAAGAAAATTTTGAATTTTGGTGGTTTACAAGTTTTGTACTAAGGGTGTTTTTACTTGGACTTAAACAGATCAGACCACACCAAACTTCCATAGTTATAAAATACACAGAGACCAGACGTTTACCAGACCAGTTCAGACCAGACCAGACTTAAACAGACCTCACCAGACCAGCAAATAATTTCAGTCCAAGTAAAAACATCACAAGTTAGATCTAAGTTTCTGATTGTTTTAATAGAAATTGCCCTGAATAGGAGTAAAAACGTTTTGAAATTCTAAAATAGGATCCTCATGTTTTTATTTCCTAAACAGGAGTAATTTCTGTCAAGTTTAGGAAAAAATGCCATGTTTAAAGCCTAGTAATGCCAAACTTGGCAGAAATTACTCTTGTTTAGGAAATAAAAAACATGGCAGTCTTATTTTGGAATTTCAAAACGTTTTAAACTCCTATTTAGAGAATTTTCCCTTGTTTTAATATTACTAGAATCTATTTTGTTACATTACTTCTTACATCTAGTATAGTAGTAATATATATATTTATCATAGGTAGTATGTAATTCATTTTACATAATCTTATGTTTCCCCTGTTTAGGGAAACACAATCCACTACATTTATATAACTATGTCTGTTTTTTAGTTTTCTGCCATAATTTGCTATTCGTTATTGATAATACTGAGTGAGATTTCTTGGCATATGATATAATAACCTAAACCAAAAGCTCCCTAATTACAAAATCTGAGGATGCATAGATTAGCTCAAAGAAACAAAATCCTTCAAAACTTCACCTTAAGGATGTCTTTGGGATCAGAGGACACGCAGTTCTTGTCCCTCAAGTGATCTCCGGTCCCATTTGATGTTTGCAGACTTCCAGAAAAGTCACTCTGGTCATCTGGCTGCTGCCTCTTTTGGCGTTTTTTTTCACTGCATAAGAAATTTTTATGCTAGTAGGAAATATGAAAAGAACATTTAGCAGTGTGTGGACTGAAGATAAATAATCATTCATCCTGAAGGCCAGTCAAAAAATAACAGACAACTGATTTTGGAAAAGAAACAAAGTATTCCAAAACTCAGTTAAACTGTAGTACATACATGTTACATAGAGTTGTCAGGCAAACATGGGCATGATGGCAAATGGCAACTCTTTTCTAAAGTATGATTTACACATCATACTATATGCAAAAGGAAGAGAAAAAGTAAGCTCTTTTCCCGCCCAGAAAAATGAGTCAAAAGTGGGTTAGAGTGGCTTGAGCATAAAGCAACCGTTTTATTACTCTGTATTATCTAATGTTATTACTGTTCAGTTTTTCAGAAGTACTTATACAATTAAGTGGCCGTTCAAGTTCTGACAGCTTTTTTAATTTGGCTTGGTTAAAAATGAAAGCAACCGTCTTCAATTGAAGAGAGTTCCTACATTGAAATAATCTGCGGTTTTTTTAATATATCCATGCACCCTAATATATACGGAGTATATACTACACGGAGTACATTACAAATAGATAATTTTCTACTTTGGTATTTTTTGTTATATTTATTTAGTTGAATATATTTCCATGATTTCCAATGGAGCCAAAGACTCGGTAATTTTTGTCTTAAGAATATGATGGAATAAAGCAAAATGGCTCACTAAACTGTTTGTGCTTCTTTGTTATGAAGTAGTAGTCAATCCATACGATTTTCAATGCGATTTTCAGAATGGGTCATCCGGAAACAGTCTCTATGTGCTTTAGTACACGAGTAAGACTGTGTACATTTGACTCCCTTACCCCACTGTAGGTGGGAGCCTTTGTGGCATTCGGGTAATGTTGTTATTTGGTTGAATATTATTCTACTTTGTGCCCATTTTAAATTTAGGATGCAAAAAAATGAATGTGAGGGCACGAAGTGCATCGTGATATGTGTAACATATGTAGAAGCCCATTTGTAGCCTCTATTATTAGTCTTATCAACCAAATTTTTATCAAACACGTAATTTTTGTTTCGCGGCTGAATTTTGTAATAATTAAAATAATTAAGGTAAGAGTTATATTCTGAATAAGGGGAACCTTGGCGCACCAGTTAAGGTGTTGCTATATGACCGAGAGGTCAGGGACTCAAGGGTTCAATTCTTGAGAACGGTCTCTTGAACAAAAATGATAAGGGAAGGCTTGCTCCTCGTACACCCTTGTGGTGGGACCTTTCCCCGGACCCTCGCCTTGCATGGATGCCTTCGTGCACCGGGCTGCCCTTTGTAGAGTTATTTTCTGGGTGAATTGGTTGAAGTTGTTAGAGAGGACTATTTAAATTATTTTTCATATAATTTTTCTTTAATTTATTAATAAAATAAACATTATTAAATATAATTTTCCAAAATTCAACAGATTCAACCAATTCAACCACTTTTATCATAATTTCATTAATTTCAATAGATTCAGTCGATTTAGTCAATTTTAGTATTATCAAACGAGCTCTTAATAAAATTTAAATGTTACTACGTTCATCTAAATAAAATGTAAAAAAAGTCAGTTTGGTGAGCCATATTTTTGTCTGAGCGCAAGCCGATCGCCATATCGATTAGGCGACAAGGAGCCCGCCTATATGACAATTAGGTGACCAGTCACACATTGCGTAATATATTGTATATAATTATATATTTATAATTGTATATAATATTCTCTTTAACTATATTTAATTTATAACTTATTATATGTTATATATAATATATATAATATTTATTACTAATTAAATTGAGAGCCCGTTTGGTGAGCCATATTTTTGGCTTATCAACCAGTTTTTTCGGCTAAAGTTACTGTAGAGGATCATTTTAGCTATCTTTCATATAATTTTTTATTTTATGTATTACTAACAAATATTTTAAACGTATTTTTTTCATAAATCAGCAGAATTAGCCAATATAGCCACTTCAGCCAGAACTTCATAAATTTCAGCAGAATCAGCCAATTCAACCAGTTTAAGTGTTATCAAACGTGCTCTGAATATTATCTAGAATTGAAACCAACAATGAATAATTGAAAACAACATACATATTTATAAAACTGTATACCACAACATACATATTTATAAAATACTACCTGCAAGTCCACAACATACACAAGTATAGGCTATAATAAGTATGTAGTTTAATCTATGTTGTTTTAAAGATCAACAAGGTTACAAGATGTAATTATTATTTCTCTTATGCTTTGTCCTTGGCTCCTTGCAACATTCTATTTTACATGACTTTAATCAAAAGTTATTATATATTTCTCTTTTCACACAAAAGATGCAAATTTATTTGTTTAAGGTTCACCGATTATAATCTCACAACCTAACTATTAATATCTTATATAGAAATTGCTCTAAATAGGAGCAAAAATGTTTTGAAATTCCAAAATAGGAGTATCATGTTTTTTATTCCCTGAATAGGAATAGTAATCTGCCAAGTTTGGGAAAAAATGTCATGTTTTAAAGCCTAGTAATGCCAAACTTGGCAGAAATTTACTCCTATTCAAGGAATAAAAAACATGATAGTCCTATTTTGGAATTTCAAAACTTTTTTACTCCTATATAGGGAATTCTCTCTATCTTATACAAAGTATTAGTTTAATGTCAAAGTTATAATTACATGCTTAAAAGTACACTAAAAGTTGTAATGAATCGTAGAAATTAAATTAGTGATAAAAATTAATATTTAAAATGCAGAAAAAAAAAGAAATTGCATTGACCAAGTAAAACTTTAAATCTTTTCAAAATAGATGGAATATAATTAAAAGTGTCCTTATTAAGTTAGTACAATCTTTCCAAAATAGATGGAATATAATAAAAAGAAGCTGTGTTGACAAAGTAAACCTTTAAATCTTTTAATGGGTGAAAATCTAGTTAGGTGCAATTTAGTGAGTACAATTTTAAATATACGATCTTTTAGGATGATTTTACTTGGAATGTAATTCCTCCCAGACTAGACCAGATCAGACCAGTTCAGACCAGACCAGACTTTGATAGTTATAAACATACAAAGAAACCAGACCAGACCAAGTAAAAACATCCTTATTAAGCATTTGCACACCAATGGAAAATTGATAAATCTACTTGCATCCGAGTTCACAACATGAACAACCTTCCTAATTAAAAGATGACTTAATGCAAGTAGATTTTATCAATTTTCCATTAGTGTGCAAATGCTTAATAAAAGGTCTAATTTTTAAAATAATATATATAGAGGTTGGTTATAATTAAAAGATGACTTAACATGTGAAGTCCTTCGCACTCACTTTTACCTCACTTTTACTTTTAATGCACTTTTTGACGTTTCGCCAAAAATCATTTATTTACAAATATACCACCGCGTTTTAGTGACACAAGGTGACATTTTGTAAATAAGTGATTTTTAGTGAAATGTCAAAACATGCATTACACTATACATGGCAATTGATACAGGTAAACGTGGGAGCGAATGATTTCACACGTTAAGCCCTCTTTTTATTTATCCAAACTATATAATATCGTATATATAGGGTGTGAATCAAATGAAAACCATTCTTCTCGTGAAAACTGCAAACGGTTCACTTTTTCCCAATGTGATGCACTTTAATGGTGGTCTTTTGCACTTTTTACATTAGTAGAAAATTTAGACTTATTTACCAAAATGTCACGGCATTTTATTTATTTGACTTGGCTCGACCAAGGATGCTTTTACTTGGACTGAAATTTGTTTGTCCGGTCTAGTCTGTTTAAGTCTTGTCTGAACTAGTCTGGTAAATATCTGGTCTCTTGCGTATTTTATAATTATAATATTTTGGTCGGTATGGTCTGTTTAAGTCTGCTCTGGGGTGATTGTGGTCTAGTCTGTTTATGTTTGGTCTGGTCTAGGACTGAAAAACAGTCCAAGTAAAAACATCTCAATGCTTAAAAAGCGCACTAGACCACCCTTAAAGTGCATCACACTGGGAAAAAAGTGATAAGTTTTCGGTTTTCACATTAAGAGTGGTTTTTATTTGATGTGAAACACACACAAACATATATGCTTCCACTGTTCTTAAATAAATGCAACGATCAACATTTCACACTTGTCGAGACACAACTTTGACCATTAATATAAATGATTTTGTATTAGTAAAAAAATTAAAAAAATTAGATTATGAAAATTTACAATGAGACAAGTTTAACAATATTTTTTCATAAAATAATATTATTACATTAATAAATAAAACGTAGTCAAAGTAGAACATGTGAATAGTGTAAAAGTCAAAGTGTTGCATTTATTTAAGAACGGAGGTAATATATTATTTGGTTCAAATGATAACATGATCTAAGAAGGGAAATAAGAATGATTTTAGAGCGTTGAATTTGAGTATTGTGCATTATGTGAAACAGAAGTGTGCACTTCCATAAATTAAAAAATGTACATTTGAACTATGCATTATTTTAACCTCAAATGTGCACATTCGAATTGTGCATCATTTTAACCATAAATGTGCATCCCCATTCGAAGAACTGATATCACCGGAACCATAAATGTGCATCCCCATTCGGAACGTGAACCACATAATTATTTTAACCTCCGTCCCATAATTAACTTCGGTTTTGACTGGGCACGGAGATTAAGATAGTGGGATTTGTGTGGTGGAGAGTTGTGCGTAAGAATGATTATGAACCACATATTCTTTATCAAAAAAGGAAAGAGGAGATAAATTGGGGACGGACCGAAAAGGAAAGAATGAAGATAATTTCGGGACGGAGGGAGTATATTGCAAAGCAAAAAAGGTAGACCTTTTACTACTAAGAATAACCACACACACAAAAAAAGGATGCCAATGTAGTAGCCAAAGTTGGTTATTCTAAAGAGCGGACTATTGAATCAAATTTAAGTTATCCAAATATGAAGCATATATTTCTTTAAAAAAGAGAGATGGTTTCTAATTATGGAAGAGAGTGGTGCAACTACATGCTTACCAATTCAAGCATATTAAGGGTGTTTTTATTGTACTCGAACTTTCTTGTCCGATGTCTTGTCTTGTCTTGTTCTGATCTGATATGATAGATGTTTAGTCTATGTGTATTTTATAACTAACGAAGTCTAACCTGGTCTGTTTAAGTCCAGTCTGGTCTATTTAAGTCTGATTTGAGACTGAAAATGGTCCAAGTAAAAACATCTTAAATCCGCAGTTCAATTAAAAACTCAAAGTAGATAAAATTATAGTTTCTGAAGAGTACAATATTTGTGAACGATGAAATTTAATTTTCAAAGAACCATTAATCATGTGAGAGCTCACCTCCTTTTCTCAAGAGATTCCAATGGACTGTCACCTGCAAAAGTCCACAAATAAAATATGAGAAAAGAAACATAGACAATAAGAAAATACTCCCTTCGTACCGTTGGACTTTGCCAACTTTTCTTTTTTAGTTGTCTCAAAATCTGTCTTTCTCCCATTAAAGTAACTAATTTGTGGTTATGTTCATTTCTCTCTCATCTGCACAAACGTGAACCAAATAATTTTTATTTTTCCGATTTCTCACCTAATTCAAAGTTGGCAATGTCCAATGGGACAAAGGTAATAACTGATATCACAAATTTAAAAAAAACATTCACAGATCAACATTATATAATCAAAGTAAGATATCTCTTTCTCTGCATCCGTTAAGGGATGATGGTTTTGATATCATAAATAAAAAAGAAAGCACATGATAAGGAAATAATTGATATCACAAATTAAAAAAACATTCACAAATCAACATTATATAATCAAAGGTATCTCTTTCTTGGCATTTGTTAAGGGGTGATAGTTTTGCTATCATAAAGCAAGTTTTATTAGCAATTGTTAACATAACAAAGGAAGTGTCCTGATTTAAAAAAAGTACAACGCAGCCTTAAAAAGAACAGAGAAATAAACCAATAACAAAAATATAATAAAAATGGTGAATATCCTGACCATGGGATGCATGTCTTCCACTTATAATTCGTCTAGGAGAGTATCTACGTGGTGGAGAATATCTCTTATCCAGCTTTTCTCTCAAGTCATGACCCCGACGGTCTCTCCTGCCTGAAATGAGGATGAAAAAGTATGTTCCAGATCTCCAGACACATAGGCATAGCAACTACATGATATTTGTAAAGTTAAAAGCCAACTAACATTGAATGAGCGAACTCAGCTATAAACAAGGCTTACCGTTATACTGAATTATACGAGATACATAATAACGAAATTATAGTGCCTTCCTTGAAGTTGGAAATACCAAAGATGCTGTAGAAATTATGCTCTCAAGTAATATATAGACATGGTTGATCCAGTTTTTTAGAATTTCTCCTTTCAAAGAACCAGTGAAGTAGTAACTGATAAAATACGGTAGAATTAATTCTGCTGTTGATGAATGAGAAATTGTTGTTATTCTGTAGCTCTCTTCTTGCATCCACTATAAAGAGAACATGTAATCCCAGATAGATTATTGACCTCCTTGGACTAAAAGATCCATTGAAAAGATTCCAATTGCAACATCATGTATCATTCAGAGATAAGTCAAAGTGAAACCTCAAATTCTAGATGAACGAGCAAGTTGAGGATTTTACTAAGATAGATAATTCGAATGGTACATCGAGCTGGCAATTGAGATATACATGCAAGAGATTATGTCCAGAGAAACCTAATTCTTCCCTTGCATCCACTGCATCTCTGAGATGCATAATAAACCACCGGATCCAATAAACATACAAGTAACATTATGATAAACCAAGCAGCAAAATCCTCTTCCAATAAAAGTACAAAGCATCAGTAATTCTTCAGTTACTGATGTCCCATACAAAGCCTCAACTTACTATGGAGACCTGAAATACTTACAATCCAAACTCAATATATGCCCATATTCAATTAATAAGTAAATATGATTGTAGTCCATAAGTACCGCATCATACATCTGGCTCATTTTCTTTAACTGTCCATTAGAAGGATTGTGGAAAGTTTGAAACATACACATAAAAGGACATAGAAGCTGACAAAAACCAAATTTATAATACTATACAGCATTTTTTGTTTATTTGGTGAGGATCGGAGGTTTTTTATTGAGATTAGTTATCTTCATTAGCATTAACTGTATATTTACAAATAAATCCTCTATAATGTACTCCCTCTGTCCCAATTTTATTATCACCTGTGGGTTTTTAGGTGAGTCACCTTTTTATTTTATTTTCCATTGACTGTCTGTCCTAATGTTATTATCCTCTTAGGTTTTTAGGAGAGCTGATGCTTTATTTAATTTTCCTCTCATTCCGTTGATGGAATTTAATGAAAAATGGTAGAGTGTTAGTAGAGCAAGGATAAAATAGTATATTTGGTATCAACATTAGATCCCTTCTAGGAATGAAACGATATAAATGGGGCTGAGGAGAAAGGAAAATAGGAAGCCAGTATTGCTGCGTATGGACTATGGAGTAATAAGATGCCAAATTAGTGCACAACTTTGCACCCACACGGAAGGCCACAAGACACAAAAGTCAATAGTAAATTAATCAGAAGGCGGAGTACTGGAACCAAAGCAGAAGAAATAAATTCTTATATAAAAAATACTGACCAAATTAAGTGGCTATGAAACACTGCACAATGTTTACTAATCCCTACTTTGCAGATTTACCCATAGTTTAATATTTTGGATTTTACTCACAGAGAAACTAATGAAAATGACTAGGCAAAACTGGACATTTCAGTAAATGAAGAAGCTTATAGTAAAAGAAATTGAAGATCATCATATCATAACATTTCAGTATCCAAACCAAATTGGTAGAGTAGTGCTTAGCATGCAAGTGAACAAGTATCATCACGACGTGATATGGATAATCTCAGAAGACGTGAGCTTTGCTCGACACTTTCGTTCTCTTTTCAATAGCTATATAAATGGCAAATTTTCAACACTCGACAATTAAAACGCGAAAAAAAGTAAACTAGCATATTATTATTATAACAAAAGTTACCATCGAAGGAACCGGAGAATCGGCGACGCTCGGCGTCACCGTGAGCAAAGTTGCAGCTCTGGCGGTGGCAATGGCCCTTCTGATAGAGCACGCATAGCTTCGTTTTGTACACCATTCTTTCGACCATGCGGGGTGTATCGATGAATACGGGTTAAATTGAAATGAGCGTACTGGGGCGTTGGCACATAATTTTTTGTGCGTGAAACTGTACGAAAGATATTCACCAAAATGCGTACATCTATCACAGTTCTGAGAATGGATTGTATTGTAACTTTGTTCATTCAATACATTGGGCCGTGAACCCTAGTCTCAACGTCATCATCACATAATGTTGGTTCCGTTTTGGAAGTGTTGGCAATTACTTCTTTTACAAAATCACTTTTTAAAATGATTTCGGAAAAATGCTTAATAGTAAAAGTTAGTAATGTTTAAAAAAATTGATTTTGAAAAGTAAAAGTTGATAGTGTTTGTTAAAATATGTGCTTTTTGTGTAATAGAAAAAGTAAAACGTAGATTCTACAATTTAGGTTTTAAGTATTAAATTTAATCAAAAGTTGTCACTTGAAAATACATTTGTTAGCTTTTTTAAGTCAAAAGCTCAAAATTACTTATTTTTAATTTTTAACAAACATACACTTTGACTTTTCATAGTAAAAACACGAAGAATTCTTGTAATCAAACAATTTTCATGCTATTGGATGTGAAAGTGCATTTAGTTGTAACTAAGTGTCGATGCATCATTTTAGAAATTATAATAAAATAGTGCACTTTTGAATATATTAAAAATGCACATGAAAAAGTGCATCTCATTTTGTTAGAAAGTGACATTTATTAGTTGCAACTTACAACATGTGCCAATGCATCATTCTAGAAATTGTAATAAAGTAGTGCCAAGGGCGGATGTATGCTAGGCCAGGGGTGGGCTTCAGCCCAGCCCAATTTTTTTTTTTAATAATATTGGTACATTTTCAAATCTCAGCCCAGCCTAAATTATTTGTCAGCCCACCCCACAAATAATTTCCAGTCCAGCCCAGCCCACAAAAAAAACTGGCAACTAAACCATACGTCGTTACGCAGTTACGCACACGGTCACACGCAGTCGGCAACTTAACCTCGAAACCTCCAATTCTCCGAACACCGAAGGGACGAAGACAACGAACGAAATGGGCGAAGTGGCGAACGGCGAAGGGCGACGGAACAGCCGCCGCACTAAAGCAGCGAACGGAACACCGAACGCCTCTGGCTCCGACCGACCTGACTGCCTCCAGCCTCCCTCTCTCGGCCTCTCGCTTTCTCGACCAGTCCTCCAGGCTCCAGCGATCGACACTCCGGCAGACGGCAGTCCAGCGGCCAGCCTTCATTCCTCCAGGTAAATCTTCTTGCGGTTTTGCCCTTTTACCAAGTAATTTGTGCCCATTTGGTATAATTTGACCGATTGAGTTTGGTGTTGGTGTTGAATTTTAATTTGTGTAGTTCGTGAATTTTAATTTGTGAATCACTGAAGTTATGAACTTCTGCCGTGAATTTGTAAACTGTGATTAACCGATTGTGTATTAAACTATTAATGTATTAATTATTATTATTATTAGCATTTTAGAGTTTTAGGGCTAGGGAATCATACAATCGTTTTGATTATTAATTGAATTTTTCAGTGCATAATTAAATAGATTTATTTTTTATATATAAGTATTTTAATATATACCAATATTGAAAATGTTTTTTAGAATGGATAATGAACATGTTGCCAAGAAGGGAAAGAAGTTGATTTCATCATTCTTTTCAAAAGTGAATCGTCAAACTGGTGAAGGGGATTCTGAACCTATACCTACAATAGTGCAAGATCTAGTCAATGAGGATCCTCCACATGTTGTAGTCCCTGAAATCCAAACTATCTCAAATTTGGATTTCAATGCTCGATGGACATGCTCGAATGTAGAAGTTTAGAGTATTCAAATTTCTATTAATCATTAATAAATTTATAAAATTTGCACTAAAACGTTTAAATTTAATTTTATGATATGTACAATAGTATAATTTATATGTGAACGATAGGCTCGTGTTCGGATCGAAACATCACTATGTTCGATCTTGACTTGAATAATTATTCAAACTCAAAACCTACTCCGTGTTCGAGTTCGAAACTTGTTAAACTCAATTCATTAAATTAGATTCGAAATCAAGCTCGAACTCGAGTATATAATTCAAAAAAATCTTTGTTCAATAACAACTCTGGGCTAAATTTGGTATGTATAGTAAAAAAAATTACTGCTGCTTAGCCTACCCCATCTCTCGATCCTGGATCCGTCCCTGAGTAGTGCCCTTTTTAATATATTTAAATACACATGATAAAAGTGCATTTTATTTTGTTAGAAAATACCAACATAAAATTTTACGATGTGTGATATAGTAATGCACTTTTGTTTGTATTAAAATGCACATGATAATTGTTAGTTTACACCCGTGAATATTTAATTACATTTTTATTTAAAACATATGAAAGTGCACAACTACAAAGAGTAAAGTAGTGCAAATTATAAATATTATTTCTAGAATTTTGGTTATTTGTTGGAGACTTTAATGTGAATATATATGTTATCTGAAAATACATCAATAAATATTAGTGTCCGAGCAGATTGATGATTTAATAAAAATAAGTGAAATTAATTAAAACTATGATGTATTATTTATTTAGAAAAAGAAATAAACATTCACTTGAACTAGTTGGGCATAGATTTCGAATAAAAGTGCGGTTATTGAATGTTGGAGTGCAAATGGACAAGCAACGAAATATTGCATCTGAAAGAAAAGATCTTTTTTTTTTCAAAAATAATGCAAAACTCTAATGAAGATTTTTTTAAAACTAGTTAATCGAATTAAATGTGAGAGATTATCAAATTCGGAAAGAAATTTAAATAAGAGAAAACATTAATCAGAATAAATGATTTTAATTCCTCAAAAAAATAATTTTAATTATGAGTGGGAGTTTGCATTAATTACTATCCAAATATGGAGAATTGCTTCCCAAAATATTTACTCGTGCAAGATGGGTGTCCCAACTAACTTGAAGTCTTTTACATAAATATCCTTAACCCATTATTATGATACATATGATTTAAAATTAACACTTAGAACGTGCGCTTCCATGTGCCGTTTTAAGTTCATAGTGATCATTTATGCGGCGCACGATTAAACATGGATTTTATTCTTTCTATCTTGAACCAACCCCTATATGTACACACACATATATGGAAGAGTTCAAATGAAAAGTGGTATTCCGGCACTGCGGGTAGCGCTCCCTGCACTATCCTTCCGGGCCGGGTAGGGGGTGTTACATTTGGTGGTATCAGAGCCTAGGTTTAGGAAATTGCATATAACATAGGAGGTCGGTCATTGATACACATGCACGTGAATGTGACTCTGGTCGGCGAACTCCAAAATTACTTTGTCCATAAGCTAGAAAGTGAATTACACTTAATATACTTGTAATAGTAGCAATGAAGTATAGATAAGATATAACCACATTCATTTTTATGTAAGTGAATTATATAAATGTTTGAAGTTGTTTTAATTCAACCGATTTAAAGACTTTATTTCAAAAATTAGATCTTATTATTTTGGTGGCAGACCTAGATGTATATTAAAATTAAAAAAAAAACATTGATTGATAAATAACATCTGGGTAGAACATTTGCATGAGGCTATGACATTTGGCTATTATCGACGAAATAAAACAAATTAAATTGTCACCTAGCTTTGTTTTTTTTTAAAACCCAGCCACGTAGCAACCATGCACCACACATATGAATATATGACATGCTATAGGCAAAATAGATTTGCATGTATATGATCGAACCTAGAGAGAGAGAGACAAGGGAAGAAATCACACAAGAAATAAGAAGGGATGAGAAGAAAAAGAGAACTGGGAGGATCTGAGACACAAAAATGTCATAAAGTAGAGCTAACTATTGCTGATCAAACTTTCACACGTTAAGTTGTGTTTTCTTAAGTATGTATCTACTTAATTTAATACCCACTTTTAATTGTTAATAAAAACAACATATATAATAGTAATTGATTAGATAATAAAGTTCTACAGGCTAGAAAACAAAAAAAGTGGATAATGATGATAAAATAATCTGATAAGGTTTTGTTGCACTTTTAAAATTAGATCGATGTACTGGAATCATATAAGGTCCTCAATAGCACAATATAGGGTTATATAAAAACTCATTATTTAGTAAATTAAAAAAAAAATCACATAATTAGATTGAAGAAAGGCCCATCTGAAGGGGTTGACATACACCTTTTCGCATGCAGTCATAGTAAGTTTTCACTTTAATGCGCATATAAAGAAGCTAAGTCGGCCAATATATATTAGCAAAAGAATTGAAGTCAAAGAATCAAGTAATTATATAAAAGTATCAAATTGGTCTGAGTGCTTTGGTGAAACCACACCAAAGAGGCTGCATGAGAAAGTGGAGAAGTGATGAGGCTACAATACCCACAATTGTTCGACTAAGGTAAATTCCGAGGACGAAATTTCTTTTTAGAGGGGAAGAATTGTAACGTCCACAATTTTACACATTTAAAAAAAAACAAATAATAATAATATAAAACTCGAAAGTAAAAGTGAAAAAATAATGAATAAAAAACGGATTTGAAGGGGTTTTAGCTATTTAAATTATGCTCCGTCGTAAAATAATCTACTATACGTAAAAAAGTGAATTGGACCGACTTAACCAATAAATATTTTCAGAAAAATATCTAATAGCTAAGTGGTTAGGAGGGTCAAAGGTAGTAACCTACTTTTTACCGAGTTAAATCAAAATAGTGTATGAAGTTAGAATGGTCTAGAAACGTATATGTATATAATGAAAAGGTATTAACATTGTGTCATAGGGATATACATTAATACATATGACATGTTAATGCATATTGAACATGATGGATAGTCTACCCGGGGGTATATATCCGAAGGGTTATTACGGGGAATAATTTAGAGAGAAGTCAGGGCAGGTAAACGTAGAGAGAAAGAGTGTATTATAAAGGTGGAGCGTTTTCAGCGTGGTTACAAATGGGGAAATGGGGTGCTATTTATAGTAGCAATAAATGCCGGACAGGGACACGTGTCAAGCGCTCATTGACCGAGGGGTCACCTCAACTGGTTGGCGCTGGCAGCCGCATGTGGCCGCATTTAATGCGGCTGTTGGACGGGACGTCTGTGCGGGGTACGGTGATCTGTACGCATGTGAGGCAGATATCTTGTCGAGTGAGATGCCTTCGGCTATAGAGCAGTAACCGAGGGCTCTCCCGCCCGATGGCACCCTGGTGTCGAGGGCTCACAGTGCCGAGGGCTGCTGTTTTCGCCGTTTTCTCCCAGTTTCCTAATTTGCTTGAGAAACCCGCTCTGTGACAATTTGGAGCCTTCGGCCAGGGGTCCGAAGGCACCCCTGTGCGTTGTGCGGACTGCTTGGTACTCTGGGCGCTGTGATTTGGGCCTGTTGGGCCTGTTGGGCCTTTGCTGGAGTAGTAGGAGTCTGTGGGCCGGGGGTTCCCGGGCCATATACTCCATCAGGAGTCCCTCACTCCTTTTGCCGAAAGGTACTTGAGGGAAAAGGAATAATTTGTGTTTGCCCTTTGATGTTGTCCTGTCGTGATCTCTGAAGTTGGTGAGGAGTTGTTGCTTTTATGTCCCTGCCGAAGGCAATCCCTCAGTTACCCACATGTCGGGACTTGAGGGCTTGCTTTGTTGTAATTTAATGATTTTCCCGAAGGGGTCCTCCAGTCCCCCACTCCTCGAGGCACTTGTAAAGTGGTGAAAAGGAGTAAAGCAGTTACGTTGCTGTTGTGGGCCGAAGGCTGACGCTTTTCGTTTCATTTTGGGGGGATGCCTCGTTAAAAACCTCATTAGGAAAAACCCTTTGGGAAAAAATCCTAATGAGGGAAAAAGAGTGCATCGAATTCCCCCAGTGATGAATCGAAAATGTCAAACCCCGGTGAAAAATGGAGAATGACGGGAATGCCGAAGGCTCTCTCTTCTGAGGGCTCCTGTGTTGATTTGCCGAAGGCTTGCTGTTGATGTCCTGGTGGTGCCGAAACGAGCCCCTCAATCCAGGGATCGAGGCCCTGCCAGATGAGGGCAGCAGTGAAGTTGTTACCGGGGGGTCCACTGTTTGTTGATGAGTTGGTGATGAAGATACCCGAGGGCTCCCATTACCTGTGTGCCATGGGCCCTCCGTCAATGAGGCACTCCCCGGGGGCTACCCGGTTTTGCAGTGCTGAGGGGGAAACCCCGAGGGGTGCCCCTGATATGCAGCCCTGGGGATCTGAAGGAGTGATCCCGAAGGCGTGTGTAATGTGCTGTGTGGGGCACAACCCGGGGGCACTTCTGGGTGAGTACACCCGGAGGCTGTCCTTGATGAAGTGGAGTGAAGCAGAAAGCCCGGGGGCTTCCAAAATATAGCCGTTGGAAATATAGCCGTTGGAATATGTAACGACTGGATATAGCCGTTGGGGGGGGGACACGTGGCGTGTGATGGCTGGCTGTCCGTGGGCGGCGTCACCGGTTGGGCGAAGACGCGGTGAGTAATGATGGCGTCCATCCGGAGGCCCGGAACCCAGGCCCAAGCCCGGATTCCAGCGCCTATAAATACCCCAAGGCCAGGCATTCCTCCGTGTGCGATAAACTTGTTAGCGAAGCTCTGTCAATTTTTCTAGAGAGAGAAAGTTCAGCCTTCGGTCAAAACTCAGCTTTCGAGGTCAGTGCTCCCTGCCTTTCTCCTTCTAGCATAGCTGTACTGTGCCCTTAGTTTAGGAGATAGAAAAGTTAGGAAACACTACCGTCTACGAGCCCTCGAACAAGGGTGCGAATGTCGTCCTAGAGTGACTCTCAGGACATCTCGAGGACGCCCTCGATGGAGGACGAAGGCATCTCCGATGTGGAGTCAAGCAGTGGTCAGCCCTCGGATTGTGGTGATGCAGCCCTGGCCCGGGAGGTCCAGAAGGAACTCACTGCGGAGGTTGAAGCCGAGGGCTTCGAGAAGGAGTGCGATGATGAAGACTTAGCCCTCGCCTGGCAGACAGCGGAGGATGAGGCACAGAATGAGAGCTCGAAGGTTACGATTGCTGTTCTCCCCCCTCGGGGTTCCGGGGAGGCCAGTAGCTCGAGGCCGTTGGATCCGATACCTCTGAGGGCGGTTTCCGGCGTGAAGAAGAAGAAGGCCGCTACCAAGAAGAAGGAGAGGACCGTCGATCAAGGAAAGCCCGTAGACATGCCCGAGGGGTACAGTTGGCTGAACACTGAGGCCCTCGAGATCAGGTCGAAGGCCGACAGGGCAGATCTGTACGTGACTCAGCTGCACGTGGGGCCCTCGGCCGAAGTGGTGGAGCCAGGTCCCGACGACGTGTTGTCCAGGGCGCCCGAGGGGTGTATTGCTATTCACGTCCTTTCGGTTTCCATGGGACTCAGGTTCCCTCTGCACCCATTCCTCCGGGAATATTTGCGGTTTGTTGGCTTGGTCCCCTGCCAACTCACGCCCAACAGCCACTCCTACATTGCGGGGTTCCTCCAGCTCTTCAAGTCCCGAGGGGTGAAACCCAGCCTGGATCTATTCTTCCAGAGCTTTAATCTATGCCGGGGGGCACGAAAACGGCGAGGGGTACGCCAACCTGCAGCAGATTGCCCGCTTCAAACTATTCTCCGATGCTCCTTCTTCCAACAAAGGATGGAGGGAACGTTGGTGCTACGTGAAGTTGGATGAGAGCCCATTCCCGAGGGAGCTACGTGACCGATTCCGAAGGCACGAAAAGATCAGGAGTGCCGCTCTCGAGAAAGACGGCCTAAAGCTGGCCAAGTTCCCGGAGGGGAAAAACAAGAACGTGGCGATCAAAGACTGCACCCTCGAGGAGGATTTATACACCCTCGGGTTCCGGAGGTACCGCTTCATAGGGGAGACCGATGAAAAGTACCATCCCTTCAACAAGGCCTTCGGAGGGGCCGGAAGTAGGAGCCGAGGGCTTTAGAATTTTGTACTTAGTTTTTTTTTTTTGCTTGGATGTTATCGTCCCTTCGCTTAGACCCGTCGGGCTAACCCTTTGTCTCCTTTGTGCAGGTATCCCCGTCTCTATGGTGAACGTAAAGGGCCTTGCTCGTTTGAAGAAACAGGACCCGAAGGGGTCGGGACAGGGCATCCAGAAGCCCGCCACTGCCCTCTTTAAGAAAGCCGAGGGCGATGCCGCTGCCGGCAAGAGGAAGGCAGTGACCAAGGGGTCCCCCCCGGCTACCAAAAAGCCGGAAAAGGGGGATGTCGCCGAGAAGGAGCCCTCGGTCATTATCGCTGATGAGCCCCCCGCCTCCGGGGTGCAGGTGGAGAAGCTGCCGGGTGGAACGCCGGCGGGGGCAGAGGAGTCGCTGCCTGAGATCCTCACAGTCGCGTTCCCGAGAGGTACATCTTTGGCCAGCGGCGCCGTCGACCCGGGGGCCATCCTGAGGGGTATGACCCCTGAGACGGATAGGGCTGCCCTCGGGGCCTATAATGATGCGGCCCTCGAGGACCACATTCTCCGCTCCTCCCTCTCTGTAAGTGTTTACCTGGCTTTCCCCATCTTCTCCTTTTATTATTTTGTGTGACTGCCTTTAACTGTTTTTGTTGTTGTTCTGCAGGCTTGCTTAGCCCTCGGCGAACAGGCTCGGAGGCTTCAAGAATGGCGCCTCCACAGAGCGGAGCAAGACGCCAGAATGAGGGAGTGCCTCCTCAAGAACCAAGAGGCGGTGAAGCTGGAGGCCCAGCTAGAAGAGGAGCTCCGGCAGATGAGCTTGAAACTGGAGGCTGCAGAGAAAGGCAAGGCTGATGCTGAGGCCGCTGCTAGGAGAGCTGCTAAAGAGGCCGAGGACTCCAAAGCGCTAGCTGTCGCCAAGGCTCAGGAGGAGGCCTTTGTCGCCGAGGGTTGGAGAGCCGAGGGGCGCAAGATGTGGGTGTCCTCGGTCGTGGAGGCCTGCGTTGAAGAATGGGCCGAGGGCCCTGGGTGGGAATGGATGGCCCGGAAGGGCAGAGAGTACTATGAAGCCGGCGAATTCTTCACCCAGGCCCTCATCTACCGGAGGATGGCCCGGCATTTGGGCATTGAGCAAAAGGACTTCTCCCCCTCGGCGTATGGTCTTCCTCCCTTGCAGCCTGATGTCCGTGAGCCGCTCCCGGAAGGTGTTCAGAGGCCCGACCTTGAGGACACGGTGTTGAAGAATGAGGCCGAGGACGACGATGTCGAGACCGGAGCGGAGGCATCATCGAGGCCGGCTGTAGAGGGCGCCCCAGTGAACGATGCTGTCGTAGTTGTGGAATGACTTTGTACTTAGAAATCTTTGAACATCTTTTGTAATGAACAACATTGTTCCTTCGGCTTCGGCCCGTTTGTAAATTCACACTTACTCTAGTTTTTGATGAAATGCATGCTGCCTCCGGGCTTTTCATATTCGAATACGCCTTATGTTTTGAATGTATGCCTTCTCCTTTGAATGTATGTCTAGGACTTAGAATACTATCTGATTGTAGCTAGCCCTTAGGAGCCTTCGGTAGTTGGGCACCCTCTGCTGGATATGCAACCGATGGCTCGGCAGCAATTAGGACTTAGAAAATTTTTTCTAAGTGTAGCACAGCATGAGGCCTTCGGGCGTTTGTAGTAACCCACCTCCTAGGACTTAGAAAAATCTCTAAGTGTAGATTCCCCCTTGAGAGCCTTCGGGATACGGCGCCCATTCCTGATGGGTGAATGTTGGACCGAGGGCCCAATGCACATGACTTAGAGATTTTTGCAAGTGTAGTATGCCATGTAGCCTTCGGCTACTGTGGAGCCCCACCTGTAATATTGAATAGGCCGGGGGCTAATTCTTTTAGGACTTAGAAGATTTTCTTGAGTGTTGATTCCTTGTGAACTGTAGCCCTCGATTGATAGGTAGCCTTCGGCAATTAGGTCCCTTGAGATGAGGGTGAAATATGTAGGACTTAGAAAATCTTCTAAGTGTAGAGTTTCCCTCGAGAGCCTTCGGGAGGTGTCATACCTCCATGATGTATGAGTAGCTGACCGGGGGGAAAGCATGTAGGACTTAGAAAATATTCTAAGTGTAAAGTCTCCCTTGGGAGCCTTCGGGAGACGGCATCCCTTCTTGATGTATGAGTAGTTGACCGGGGAAAACATGTAGGACTTAGAAAATATTCTAAGTGTAAAATCCCCCTTGGGAGCCTTCGGTAGATGGCATCCCTCCCTGATGTAAGAGTAGTTGACCGGGGGGGAAATACATGTAGGACTTAGAAAATATTCTAAGTGTAAAATCCCCCTTGGGAGCCTTCGGTAGATGGCATCTCTCCTTGATGTAAGAGTAGTTGACCGGGGGGAAATACATGTAGGACTTAGAAAATATTCTAAGTGTGAATTTTCCCTTGGGTGCCTTCGGGTGATGGGTGCCCTCTGATTCCACATCACTTTGCGAGATGCCCGGGGGCTACTCATTTAGGACAGAATACCCTCTTTTTTTTAAGTGTTGTTGTATTGCATGGCCTTCGGCCACCATATTCCCTTGGCTGTAATATTGATTGGGCCGGAGGCTCCACCTTTAGGATTTAGAATTTTTTCAAGTGTTGCTTCCCTGTGTAGCCTTCGGGTGCCCGGGGGCTGCTCCTTCAGGACTTAGAATTTTTTCTAAGCATAAATTGATGTTGAATCCTGTTGTCGTGAAGAAAGCCAATGAGGAGTGTGTGCCCTCGGCATACACTCTAAAAGTCGTAGAATTTGATCCTTGTCATGGGGAAAGGGCCCTCGATATTTGTGCATAACGGATGCCTTCGGTGTTTGTTTGAAGTACCGTTTAGTGGACCTTGGACAGTCCAGTCCCTTTGTGTTGTTGAAGCCTTCGGTGTCTTTGTGACCGGAGGTGACCAGGTAGTGGACTTAGCCGTTTCCTGACGATATTTCCTTGAGTAGTATCCTTCGGGAAATAGGAGTCTTCAATTGCCGGAGGTGTTCCCGTGGGGAGCCCTCGGCATGTTGTGATTTTGTTGGAGTGTACTCTTTGATTTCTCGCTGAGTCTACTCCCCTTCACCCCTTTTTTTTTTGGTTGGTGGTGAAGGGAAGGCATCAAGAAACTTGGTTTCTTGGTAAGGCTGGGCCTATTAGGAGACCATCAGAATACACCAATGGCTCTCCTCCCTCGGGTTAACCTTCCGAGTGCCGAGGGGATCGAGGGACGTTTCCTGGGCACAAGATATGGTGGTCCGTAACCTGCCTCCCCTTGGGGGATGGCGCGGAAAGCGCCTCATTTTTGAAAGTCGTCCCCTCGGCGCTAGACATAGTCTGTGGCCTGCCACACCCTTGGGGTGGTGGCGCGGGGAGCGTTTCGGTTTGGAAGTCGAATCCTGGGCATTTCTCATGCCTGTCATACCCTGGGGGTAGTGACGCGGATAGCGTTCCGTTTTTGAAAGTCGAATCCTGGGCATTTCTCATGCCTGTCATACCCTGGGGGTAGTGATGCGGAAAGCGTTTCAAGGAAGGGTTTTCATTTGCACACTAGTTGCAAATGGCCGAGGGCACTACGTGCCGCCGGCACCGATGGTGGCGCCTTCGGTATATGCGTCCTCGTGGGGTACGGCTTTTAGAAACAACACTTGGTGTTAGTTTCGATGTGTAGCCCCCGGTACTTGGTACCGAGGGGTCTCCTGTAGGAACACTTGGTGTTCTCTTTTATCGTAGTTGATGGAGGTGTCTACCCTCGGTACTTGGTACCGAAGGGTCTTCAAATGAAACACTTGGTGTTTTCCAACAAATGTTTGGAAGTTGATAGGAGAGCATATCCCTGGCACTGGGTGCCGAAGGGTCTTCTTTGATGATGTTTGATGATGGAGGTGTACCCTCGGCACTGGGTGCCGAAGGGTCTTCTGTAGGAACACTTGGTGTTCTCATCTTTTCTTTTTTGGTGTTGAAGGTGGGGATGTACCCTCGGCACTGGGTGCCGAAGGGAAATGAATTACATGGCATTGTTTGTTGTTGGTGATAGGAGTTCCCTCCCTCGATACTTGGTACCGAGGGGCCTTGACTGAAAACACGTGGTGTTTTCACTGATGTTGTGGGTGTTGATGGCGGCCGCCCTCGGCACTTGGTGCCGGAGGGGGTTTTTCTCGTGGTGAGGCCTGGGGCCTGTAGTCAGTATGAGGGCTTGATGTCTTGAATGTACCTTCATTCTTCGAAATTGGAGGCCTCGGGCCATAGGATAGTACATTTACTAATTATGAGGGCTTGGCCGCTCTTACATTATTGATAAAATTTAACTAAATGGTGTACATTCCAGTGCCTAGGGACTTCCTTCCCATTGGGGCGTTTGAGCTTGTAGGTCCCGGGTTTGATGATGGCTGCTATGATGTAGGGGCCTTCGAATTTTGGTGCCATTTTTCTTCCCTCGGTTGGTTGGCTGGCTTCCCTCCTCCGGAGGACATAGTCCCCCACTTGAAATTCTCGGGTGCGAACTTTGGCGTCGATGTAGCCTTTAACTTGCCTTCGGTAGTTTTCTGCCCGGATGAAGGCTTGCTCCCAGCGTTCTGAAATGAGGTGGAGGTCGAGGGCCATGTTGCTGTCGTTGACCTCGGGGTCATATTGGATCACCCTTCGGGTGGGAATGGTGACTTCTGTAGGAGCTTTGGCTTCAAAACCGTAGCAGAGGGAGAAGGGTGTTTCACCTGTTGCTCGCCGAGGGGTGGTGCGATAGGCCCAAAGGATGTTGTGGAGTTCTTCCACCCAACCACCACCCTCGGCCTCCAGCTTCTTTTTGAGGCCCTCGAGCAAGGTCCGGTTGGCATTCTCTACTTGCCCGTTGCCTTGAGGGTAGGCAACGGAGGAGAAGGTGTGTTTGATGCCCCATGCCTCCAGAAGGGCACAGAAGGGGGCTGCCTCAAATTGTGTCCCATTGTCGGAGATGATCTGCTGGGGGACGCCAAACCTTGTGAGGATGTTCTTGAGGACGAAGTGACGGCACTTCGCCTCTGTGATGCTGGCGAGGGGTTCAGCCTCCACCCACTTGGTAAAATAGTCGACGGCCACAATGATGTATCTGTTGTTGGAGGTACCCCTCGGCAGAGGGCCCACAAGGTCTATCCCCCATCGAGAAAATGGGACAGAGGTGCTGATGGGGGCATAGTTGACCGCTGGCTTGCCGGGAGCTTTTTGGAAATGTTGACATGCGGTGCACCTCCGGGCAAGATCAGCACAGTCCCTGGCCATGGTTGGCCAGAAGTAGCCCTGGAGAATGAGCCTTCGGGACATGGAGAAGGGTCCCTGGTGAGCTGAGCAAGTGCCACTGTGTACTTCCTCCATTGCGACCTCGGCTTCATCTGGATGAAGGCACCGAAGTAGCGTGCCATTGTAAGATCGTTTATAGAGCCTCCCATCTTCGATGGTGTAGCTAGGAGCCCTCAGTTTTGCCAGTTTAGCGCGGGTCTCATTCTCGGGTAGCTGCCCTGTGGAGATGAAGGCGGTGATGTCTGAGATCCAATCCTCCTGACGTTGTTGTATGTTCATCACGGGGCTTGCATGGATGCTTGAGAGGCTGAGTTCCTCGATTTTGGCAATTTTGGAGATGTGCTCGGGGGAGTCTGCCGAGAGTTTAGATAATATGTCGGCCTCGGAGTTCTGAGCCCTCGGTATTTGGGTGAGAGAGTGTGCCTCAAATACTTTAAGCAACTCCTTGGCCGCCTCCTTGTACTGTTTCATTCTTCCCTCCTTGGCCTCATATTCTTCGGA